GGACTATTTTTTTTCTATAGAAAAAAAATTCGTCAGGTCCCTGAGGACAATTTTTTTTTTCTATAGAAAAAATAATCGTCAGGTCCCTTTTTTCTATAGAAAAAAATTCGTCAGGTCCTTGAGGACAATTTTTTTCTATAGAAAAAAATTCGTCAGGTCCCTGAGGACAATTTTTTTCTATAGAAAAAATTCGTCAGGTCCCTGAGGACAATTTTTTTTTCTATAGAAAAAAATCCGTCAGGTCCCTGAGGACTACTTTTTTCTATAAAAAAATTCGTCAGGTCCCTGAGGACTACTTTTTTTCAATAAAAAAAATTCGTCAGGTCCCTGAAGACTACTTTTTTTCTATAAAAAAAATCGTCAAGTCCCTGAGGACTACTTTTTTTCTATAGAAAAAATTCCCGTGGTCCCTGAGAACAATTTTTTTATAGAAAAAAATTCGTCAGGTCCCTGAGGACTACTTTTTTCTATAGAAAAAAATTCGTCAGGTCCCTGAGGACTACTTTTTTCTATAGAAAAAAATTCGTCAGGTCCCTGAGGACTACTTTTTTCTATAGAAAAAAATTCGTCAGGTCCCTGAGAATTACTTTGTTCCATAGAAAACCAGTAAGGAAAGAAGTAAAGTCGGACGGGGCCGTCTATATGATACCCTTCACCACTTTGGGTATATCCTAACAGACGTCGCATTTTTGAAGGACCATTAACATGAAATTAAACATGCCATTCTGCATCCTATATTAAATTTTGGTCAGATATATTGTTGCTTTTTACAATGGGACAAAATTATGTAAATAAATTTAAAGCAATTATTGAAATCTAAAGCGGATTTCATCGAAACTTGTCACATGTTAGGTTACACTAATTTCAGTATGTTTTTGCATTCGGCCACATTTTGAGTTCTTTATTTACTTATAAATCCAAATATCGTGCAAATGGAAGGTGCACCATTTACCTAAAATCGGACGAAGATATATATGGGAGCTATATCTAAATCTGAACCGTTTTTCACGAAATTTAACACACATCGTTCTAGATTTAAATCAATACGCTGTGCCAAATTTTGTGCAAATCGAAGGATATATAAGGATTTGGGTGCACTATTTACCTAAAATCGGACGAAAATATATATTGGAGCCTTTTGACTGTTAAAAACACACAAAGGCATAATTCCCTGCACCACAGTGTGGTGAAGGGTATAAAAATTCGTCAGGACCCTGAGTATTACTTTTTTTATACAAAAAAATCGTCAGGACCCTGAGGACTACTTTTTTCCTATAGAAAAAATCCTCAAACCCCTGAGGAGACCTTTTTTCTGTAGAAAAAATCTTCGGGTTCCTGAAAAGCAAAAAAAAATCGTAAGAACCATGAGAATTTATTTTCTGTAGAAAATAAATCGTCAAGAATTTTAAGAAATCGTTTTCTTAGGTTCATGTACCGCAATTAACCTTCAATAGGCCTTTGGTATTTACAGTTCCCAAATTCCTCACACATTATCTGTCTTATATCATCACAATGGAAATTTTTAAAATTTTGTACCTACCAAATCCGACATCCTCAATTACCAAAGGTTCTCTTAGGTGATGAAATTCCCATTTTCTAACAACACAAAGACCATACTCAAAGATCATAAATCTTAGAGAGGATTTAGGAAGCCAACAGATAACATGGCTTTGTGGACCATGATATATGGCGGACCATGATAGATAAAACAAATTAGTTAAATTTAGTTTATTCTAGCTAAATTTAGTAAGAACATTATATAGATACTAGATACTAACAGATAACAGATGTGATGTGGCGTGAAGAATATATGGAAGGTAGACGACATTTATGGATCGGGAGAAGTTTAGACCACATACATAAATAATATAAGGAAGTAGATAGTAATCACTTCGTAAGTGGTAGGTTGTAGTGGTTCGAATATTATGTTTCAGAAACAAGGTTCCAAATCCTAGATACAATATAGAGAATCTGTGAGAAATTTCCTCCTTAAAAGTGACAAATATAATAGAGGTTCCTGTCGAATTCCTCCTCTTTGTTACTTCTTACAATATTAAGCCCCAACATTTCTTGAAATGCTAGACATTAATTTACTTAAAGTTAATGGCCATAATTAGTGGTCCACTTATGATCGCAGACACATCCACACTCACATATGGTTTATGTATCCATATGTGAGTGTGTAATTCCCCAGCTGGCATCTGTCTCGTTTCATTTGTCGCAACAACAAAATGACATTTTGACCAGGCCTATAACCTTATCTTTGATGTTGTAATTTTTTCGGTAGTTGTTGTTGTGTCTCTTTGTTTTTTTGGCTACTGTCTAATTAAATAATGAACTGAGAGTTGTTGTTTTTGTTGTTGGCTTATTATCTTTCCCAGCTACTTTATAATTCATTTAGTCTAATGGAAATTTTTCGGCATTAGAATTTAGGATGATATCTTCTTACGTTTCATAGGCATCACAGTGAAACCATGGAGATAACTCGAACCGACTGTCGGCTGACGGTGATAAAATTATCGCCTCATGTGTCAAATGTGTTGGCATTTGGTCCACCGGCTCGCCACTTTGGAGAAGTGCAAAGTGTGAGTAGCGGATAAAATTCTGTCGTTTGAATGTCGCCTTTTGTTTACTTCGCTTGTCACCAAAGTGACAGATAAGCCAAAAGAAAAGCAACTGGGTAATCCTTTCGAAAATTTATTATTTTCAGAATAGAAATACGATTTTTGTTGTTATACCATCTAGCTGTTGTTGTTGTACAAATTCATAAATTTGTACAATGATTCTGCAATTTTTAGCATATCATATTTTTAAACGAATTATCTTGAGTTATGTTTAGAATTCCACACAGAAACGTTTTTAACACTCACGATTCAGGGTCTGTCACGCACATGATCATCAGCAGATAACATAATTGAGGCCTAATATTGCTAAAAGGGAAACATTTTCAAAACACTAACAAATCGTCGATATCCTGAGGAGATTCTTTTTCCTATAGGAAAAAATTAGTGAGGAAACTGAGTACAAATTCGTCAGGTCCCTTAGAATATTTTTTTCTATAGAAAAAAATTCGTCAGGTCCCTGAGGACAATTTTTTCTATAGAAAAAAATTCGTCAGGACCCTGAGGACTACTTTTTTCTATAGAAAAAAAATCGTCATGACCCTGAGGACAATTTTTTTCTATAGAAAAAAATTCGTCAGGACCCTGAGGACAATTTTTTTCTATAGAAAAAAATTCGTCAGGACCCTGAGGACAATTTTTTTCTATAGAAAAAAATTCGTCAGGACCCTGAGGACAATTTTTTTCTATAGAAAAAAATTCGTCAGGACCCTGAGGACAATTTTTTTCTATAGAAAAAAATTCGTCAGGACCCTGAGGACAATTTTTTTCTATAGAAAAAAATTCGTCAGGACCCTGAGGACAATTTTTTTCTATAGAAAAAAATTCGTCAGGACCCTGAGGACAATTTTTTTCTATAGAAAAAAATTCGTCAGGACCCTGAGGACAATTTTTTGCTATAGAAAAAAATTCGTCAGGACCCTGAGGATAATTTTTTTCTATAGAAAAAAATTCGTCAGGACCCTGAGGATAATTTTTTTCTATAGAAAAAAATCGTCAGCCCCCCCTGAGGATTACTTTTTTCTATAGAAAAAAATTTGCTCAGGTCCCCTGAGGACTACTTTTTTCTATAGAAAAAAATTTGCCCAGGTCCCCTGAGGACTACTTTTTTCTATAGAAAAAAATTCCAGGACCCTGAGGACTACTTTTTTCTATAGAAAAAAATTCGTCAGGACCCTGAGGACTACTTTTTTCTATAGAAAAAAATTCGTCAGGACCCTGAGGACTACTTTTTTCTATAGAAAAAAATTCGTCAGGACCCTGAGGACTACTTTTTTCTATAGAAAAAAATTCGTCAGGACCCTGAGGACTACTTTTTTCTATAGAAAAATCGTCAGGACCCTGAGGACAGCTTTTTTCTATAGAAAAAAATTCCTTGGTACCCTGAGGAGTATTTTTTCTATAGAAAAAAATTTCTCAGGACCCTGAGGACTACTTTTTTCTATAGAAAAAATTTTGCTCCGGACCCCTGAGGACTACTTTTTTCTATAGAAAAAATTTTGCCCCGGTCCCCTGAGGACTACATTTTCCTATAGAAAAAAATTCGTCAGGACCCTGAGGACTACTTTTTTCTATAGAAAAAAATTCGTCAGGACCCTGAGGACTACTTTTTTCTATAGAAAAAAATTCGTCAGGACCCTGAGGACTACTTTTTTCTATAGAAAAAAATTCGTCAGGACCCTGAGGACTACTTTTTTCTATAGAAAAAAATTCGTCAGGACCCTGAGGACTACTTTTTTCTATAGAAAAAAATTCGTCAGGACCCTGAGGACTACTTTTTTCTATAGAAAAAAATTCGTCAGGACCCTGAGGACTACTTTTTTCTATAGAAAAAAATTCGTCAGGTTCCTGAGGACAATTTTTTCTATAGAAAAAAATTCGTCAGGTCCCTGAGGACAATTTTTTCTATAGAAAAAAATTCGTCAGGTCCCTGAGGACAATTTTTTCTATAGAAAAAAATTCGTCAGGTCCCTGAGGACAATTTTTTCTATAGAAAAAAATTCGTCAGGTCCCTGAGGACAATTTTTTCTATAGAAAAAAATTCGTCAGGTCCCTGAGGACAATTTTTTCTATAGAACAAAAATTCGTCAGGTCCCTGAGGACAATTTTTTCTATAGAACAAAAATCGTCAGGACCCTGAGGATAATTTTTTCCATAGAAAAAATGGTCCGGTCCATAGGACAATTCTTACAAAAGAAAAAAAATCGTCAGGACCGTGAGGATAATTTTTACTATAGAATAATAAGGATATTTTTTTCTATTGAAAAAAATAGTCAGGACACAAAATCGTCAGTACCCTGAAGACAATAGGTTATACACATTTAGAACTTCCTAACTTCCTTGAGTATCCAATACAAACTTTCTTTAACCGTCTTAATTTTATTTTTTATTTCTCTCATAATCATCCAGAACCGCAATCAAGGGTTCATTAACCTTCTGTCGAACATTTGAGGCGAACATATAATCACCATGCGACCAATTATCATCGGCGATACGATGTGTAATAACCGCAGGCATTCCGGCAACAAAACGTTGTACATCTACTGGCTTCACGGTTTGGTCTCCCCTGCTATACCAAATATGCAACAGCTTGTGGATTCTCTCCAAAGGATAACGTGGGGGATAGGCCTGAGAATAACGTGCAAAATTTTCAAATAACCCAAAATCATATTGTCGAAATTCCGACGAATAAATAACCTGCATATAGTGCAGAAATTGTTCCGTTGAAATGCCACCCGGATGGGTTTCCAAACACAATTCTAAAGCGGTCTTAAAGGAGCAGAAAATAATTCGTCAATAATCTCTCCAGGTCCCAATATTCCTACTTTACTTACCCTATTCTTATTGCGAAATGTCCCCTCTACCATCAGGGCCAGTGGAGAGCAGAATCCATGCAGCTTCGATTCCTTTTGACACGCCGAATATTTCAGCTGATCAAACAGCTCATTAAAGGGTACAAATTCCTGACGACTAAATTTCTCCGTAATGATATTATAATAACCCATATAGGGACTCAGGACTTTCAGTAAACGATTTTCGGTATTATCCAAAAATATTACCGGAGACCATAAATTCACAGTTCTCAAATACTGCTGATACTCTTCACGCATTGACATTAATACCGTCACAATGGTTGTACCCTGTGAGTGGCCCACATAGTGTAAGGACTTCTCTTGCGGATCGGTTATATTTTTTAGAATATAGTCAATTGTTGCTGGCAGATCATAGAAACCAATTTCATGCCAACTGAAACGCCAAAACAGACCATCGTGTATGCTTAGCGATCGATGTTTCCGAGCATATAAATTTCCTCGGACATTTCCCAGCCACACATCATAACCACGGTCTGCCAGCAGGAAGGGGAGACTATTGTCCTGTCCATTCAATATCCAAGTATCAGAGGTACCCATCAAACCATGTTCCAATAATACCTTTGGGCGGTGTTGTAAGGATGAATTTGACACAAATTTGGGAGAACTGGGAATCCGATAGATTTTGAGGAAGTAACCATCCTCGGTTTCCACCTCATGCTCCTCACATGGGTAACCTGTGTCGAGGATACGATCGATCTAAAAGCAAAAAAATTATCAGACTTCTAAGGAAAAGATTTTTCTGGGACCTGATGATTTTTTTATAGAAAAAAGTCATCTTCAGAAAAAAATTCCCCAGGGTTCTGACGATTTTTTTCTATAGAAAAAATTACCCTCACAACTCTGACAAATTTCTATAGAAACAAACATCTTCAGTGTGATGACGAAATTCTTTTATGGAAACAAATATTCTCTGCGTCCTTACGAAAACTATTTCCTCAGGGTCTTGACGATTTTTTTTCTATAGAAAAAAAAAGAATACTCAGTGTCCAGTGTCAGGGTCCTGACGATTTTTTTTCTATAGCAAAAAATTGTCCTCAGGGTCCTGACGATATTTATTGTATAGAAAAAAATATCCTCAGAGTCCTGACGAAATTTTTCCAATGAAAAAAATATCCTCAGGGTCCTGACGAAATTTTTCCAATAAAAAATATCCTCAGGGTCCTGACGAAATTTTTCCAACGAAAAAAATATCCTCAGGTCCTGACGAAATTTTTCCAATAAAAAAATATCCTCTGGGTCCTGACGAAATTTTTTCTAAAGAAAAAATATCCTCAGGGTCCTGACGAAATTTTTCCAAAGAAAAAAATATCCTCAGGGTCCTGACGAAATTTTTCCAATAAAAAAATATCCTCAGGGTCTTGACGAAATTTTTTCTATAGAAAAAATTGTCCTCAGGATCCTGACGAATTTTTTTCTATTGAAAAAATTGTCCTCAGGGTCCTGACGATTTTTTTTCTATAGAACCAAATTGTCCTCAGGGTCCTGACGAATTTTTTTCTATAGAAAAAAATTGTCCTCAGGGTCCTGACGATTTTTTTTCTATAGAACCAAATTGTCCTCAGGGTCCTGACGAATTTTTTTGTATAGAAAAAAATTGTCCTCAGGGTCCTGACGAATTTTTTTCTATAGAAAAAAATTGTCCTCAGGGTCCTGACGAATTTTTTTCTATAGAACCAAATTGTCCTCAGGGTCCTGACGAAATTTTTTCTATAGAAAAACTTATCCTCAGGGTCCTGACGAATTTTTTTCTATAGAAAAAACTGTCCTCAGGGTCTTGACGAATTTTTTTCTATAGAAAAAAACTGTCCTCAGGGTCCTGACGAATTTTTTTGTATAGAAAAAAATTGTCCTCAGGGTCCTGACGAATTTTTTTCTATAGAAAAAAATTGTCCTCAGGGTCCTGACGAATTTTTTTGTATAGAAAAAAATTGTCCTCAGGGTCCTGACGAATTTTTTTCTATAGAACCAAATTGTCCTCAGGGTCCTGACGAATTTTTTTCTATAGAAAAAAATTGTCCTCAGGGTCCTGACGAAATTTTTTCTATAGAAAAACTTATCCTCTGGGTCCTGACGAAATTTTTTCTATAGAAAAAAATTGTCCTCAGGGTCCTGACGAATTTTTTTGTATAGAAAAAAATTGTCCTCAGGGTCCTGGCGAATTTTTTTCTATAGAAAAAAATTGTCCTCAGGGTCCTGACGAATTTTTTTCTATAGAAAAAAATTGTCCTCAATTTGTCCTGATGATGTTTTTTTATAGAAAAGTGTCCTGAAGATTGTTTGTGGTCTTACTGTTGTCTTGCGACTGAGCCGCAAATGTTTTCCCGGTTGTTGAAAATAATCCAGAATTTTAGGATTTCCCATTGCAGCGGCAAGTCCTGTTGCGGTCGCCAATGATGCTACTGCAATCATTGCGCAATAAATTCCAATTAATGTCAATTTCATTTTCAAAATTCAATTTTCCTCTCCACAAAATCGATGTTGTTGTTGTTACTATAATTATGTTCGGCTTCTAGCATTGCTATTTAAAGTTATAATTAATAATTTTGTTTCTCTGCTTTTTATAGACAATTTGTTGTCAAATAACTTCCCAGCCGAGTTGTCGTCGTCGGCCATAACCATAACCTTTCCATTAATAACCTAGTTATTTTTTTCCTCATTCCGCCTAACATCAATAACTTGGTATAGTTTGTTGTTGGAGTTTTTTGTTTTCCCCATTACTCCAGGCATTTTATGTTTGTTGTTATTGATTTTTATTAATTTTCGTTTCGTTTTTTCTATTTTGTGTTTAGTGTCTCCCTTGGTTTTTTGTTTACCTCAACTTACCTCCAGTAAGGTATTACGTTATCGGTTGCTAATATTTATGGGGGCTCTTGAAAATTAAACTAACCGTTCGAGTATTATAAAAATACCTACCGATTACATATTTATTTATTTCTATGTGATTGAAACCTGCCTCTATTACCCCCTGTACATTTGTTTATGAAGGAACCATAAATCAGATTAATTATTCATATATATATATATATATATATAAAAGATGCATATTTTAGAAATTCATATTTTTGATTAGACAACAATGTTATCGGATTCATACTTTACTTAAGACGACTTCATTACGCATTAAAGTTTTCTTAAATGGCGCCCAACATGAGACCCACCAATCAAAAGTGTTTTGCAGGTGATTTAAAAAAATGAATAGTGTTCAGAACAATGTCCGGATTTCTAGAATACAATTTATTAAAACTTTAAATACTGGCTTCTTGTCGGAGAGATATATATAGAGAGAGAGAGTGATAAAAACAGCATTGGAATGTGATTGGTGGTATTGAGTTTTCTGTGGCACAGAACATCTTTGTCGCTTGTATTTTATGTTTTCTTCTATGTTTTGTCTGTCTTCTTGTCTTGTGTTTATCCGTCTATACAATGTAAAAAATTCGGTTGGACTTGATGCTCGCATCAACACTATCGAAATAATTTGGAAAATACATATGCGAATTTTATACAACAATGCAAAACTAGCCATAATCGTATAAGTGCAGAGACGCCGCTTGTAAACAGAGAAGCAGTCAAACAGACTGTTGCAAAAGTAACAACCACCAAGCGTGGGGAGAGACGTAGGGCGAAACCAAAAAACCCCTAAGTCCGAGTAATGAATAATGGTGTTGGTGTTTTTTTTTTTCTTGGGAGGAACACATTTGTTTTTGTCAAAACAAAAAATATAGGACGATATGAGCGCAAAGATGGAAGTAAGAAACTAGTTGTAATGTTAACGAAATGTTTACATTTTTTTAGAAAAAATATAGCTTTTCTAAGGTTGGCGTTGGGGATGATAGATACCAAGCAACGACTCTGATTTGCTTTAACATGGCAAAGCCCAGGTATATATTGGTCCCTCTTTCATCTCAATTGTCGACATTGACCTGACCTGATTGCATACGTTGTCAAAATTTCGTGTCAATCGGACAAACATTAGGAGTTTGGTGCATCATTTGCATTAAATCAGACGAAATTTTATATGGAAGCTATATCTAAATCTGAATCGATTTCCACGAATCTCTGTACACATAATTTTAGTCTTAATTTAGTTCACTATGCCGAATTTCGCGCAAATTGAAATATATTTAGGGACTTTGGTGCACCATTTACATTAAATCGGACGGAAAATATATACTGAAGCTATATCTGACTAACTTACAACTCAACACTCTAGACTAAATTAATTACGCTATGGCAAATTTCGTGGAATTTGGTGCACCATTTACCTTAAATCGGAGCTATATCTAAATCTGAACCGATTTCCACGAATCTCTGTACACATCATTCCAGACTTAATACAGTACGCTGTGCCAAATTTCGTCCATATCGAATGTTATATATGAACCTTGGTGCACCATTTACATTAAATCGGACGAAAATATATATATGCAAGCTATATCTAAATCTGAACCGATTTTTCCCAATTTCAATAGGGTTCGTCCTTGGGCCAAATAAATGAGCTGTACCAAATTTCATCGAAATCGGATTATAAATATGACCTGCAATTTTTTGCAATTTAACATCAGAAGACGGAGGGACGGAAATGCATCAATCGACTCGGAATGTGATT